ATCATCTTAATCATCTCTATGACCATTAATATTGTTATTTCAGGCACATGACTTAGACTGTGAGCACAGAAACTCTTTTTAATAATATTAATTTAAAAATAAAATTCAATTTCTGTAATTAATTTAATCTCTTAATAAGATTCAGGGTCAAGCTACTGCAGCAGTAGGCAGGTACCTGCAGCTGTTGAGCTGCCTCCAGATTCCAAATTGATCTTGTTTGTCGCCACATTAAAAGCTTTTCCTGTACAAATATCATTAAGCAAGCGAGTTAAAGCAAAACGAACCTTGCAGTGTTCAAACCCTTGCCAATTAACTGAGTTTTGTATTATTTATCGAGATGTGCAGTTGTCCTTTAATTCTGAGAAATATTGTTTTGTGTGTGTTTCTTTAACCAATTTGACAGTTTGTCTTGTTTGCACGTGTGCGACGTTTCCTTTTTCTTGCCACAAGATTGAAAAGCAACAACTTGTGAAATTTCACTATTTTCTTCTGAAATTCAAAGTAGATGCAAAATTACTGCATAAAAATGAAACATTTGCAATGTCTTTGGTATAAAACTAAAAGAATTATTAACCTGATGAGATTTTTAAAAAACAAAAAAGAGAAAAAGTCCAACATCTGTGTCCTTGTTTGCTACTGAGGCTGCTGTTTTTGTTTGTTTGTTGTTTTTGTTTGTTTGTCCTGGGGTATTTGTTTTTGTTTTTTTGTTTTTTACTTCAATCAGTGCCCATAAGCTGTGCCGGTCATTCTGCAGCCCCCAGCCTCCTCTTGAGGACCACTGTGATGGGTCCTTCAGGCAAAGCCTTGATCATGTTCCACGCCTCAAATCGAGTCATGTCTTGCAGACTTATTCCCTGGACCTGCAACACTTCATCTCCGCTCTGCAGACCGCTCTGCTCTGCCGCTCCCCCTGAAACATCCAAAAGACATTTTTTTTAATAACTGTCCAAATATTACAATTACTGCTCTTCTTTTTTGGAATCAAACTCAGTTTTTTCCCAAAATAAGCGACGAAAGAAACACTTGTGATAAAGTTTTCGTGAATACTGCCAGCCTCGTGAGTGCACCTGTAAAGATCCTGTTGATGACTAAAGGTCTGTCTCCATGGATTGAGCCTTTTCCTCCCTCCAGAGTAAAGCCAACACCACCAGCACATTTCTCCAGCTCCACACTCATTGGAGCGCCCCATTCCTCCACTGCGACAGCAAACACACAGAGTATATGTAGCCTGCTTAGTATTTATAATAAAAATGTCTGTTCTGACCTGGATAAGCCTACAGAGCTATGTCTGCATACATTTTGTGAATGTTTCTCAGTTTAAACATTTGATGTTTTCTGTGTTCTGTTGTGAATAAAACATATGTGTATGATATTTGCAGTCTTTGCATTGATTTTATTGATTTTGCACAGATTCCCAATTCTTTGGAAGTATTGCATTTTCTTGATGGTTGTGTGATTTCTGCTAAAACAAATTGGGGATAATAAATGTATTCCCAGTTGTCTGACTGACCAGCAGGATTTGGCTCTTCACTCCTGCAGCTTCCTTCCTCTCTTCCCTCCTCCACGACTCTCTTGCAGAT